CTCAGCTTTCTACCTGAGCAGGCCTCAGGTGAATGGGCCATTTAACATGCAAGTATTTCTGATTGGCTCCTACCCTAGACTCCTGCCCTTCTTCTTGACCCAGAATTTCCAGTCCATAGCCAACACAGGCTAATAGAAATGAGAAGGGTGATGCAACCAAGAACTATTTTTAATCAAATAAGAGAAAATGACATTCTGGCCAAGTCTATAGATGCCATTGACCCTACCTGCTGATAAACCCCCAATATGTAAAGCCTGATCCCTACTTTCTAAACCTCTACTTGGCCCTGTAAGGAAGAATATGATGGGTACTAATGCTGGACTGGGTGCTTGGTTAGAGTGAGAGTGATGGAGAAAAGAGGCCAGGAGACTATTATTCTAAGTGCCTCCTCCCTGAAAAAAAAAAAAATCTCATTTTGAGTCATTTTCTTAGCAAATTTCATAAGCTGCTAATCAGAAATTCTCTCCAGTACAAAACTGTTATCATCATAAAAGAATACTATTTATAAACCTTTTGCATAGTGTATTAGGGTTTACAAAGTATTTTGCTCCCCAAAACTGGCATGACACATTCTGGGGGTGATGAAAATGGGGAGATTTGCTTGGTTACTAGGTTCTGCTCACTTGGCCGACAAACTACTAAAATGTGGGCCACAATTACAAGTGGAGAGAAATGAAAAGATGGGCAGACATCTGAAAGACGTCTTCTTATAAAGAGCCCTGGGTTTAAAGTTAATCAATCATACTGGCCCACAGTGAGAGAGAGGGTGGGATCTGAAGTCAAGAAAGACTTGATTCAAATCCAGCCTCAGATACTTATTAGCTGCGTGACCCTGGTAAAGTCATTTAACCCTCTCTCTGACTTTATTTTCTTCATTTGTAAAATGGGTGTTATAATTCTAATGTCTACCTTCCAGAGCTGTTATTAGGATAATATTAAATAATATTTGTAAAATGCTTGCAGACCTTAAAGAGGTATATAAATGCTTGTTATCCTCATCATTATTAATCAACAAGCATTTAGTAAGCACTCTGTGTGGGGCACTGGACAAAGTCCTGAGGAGATAGACAAAAAGGAAACTGGCCCTGCCTTCAAGGAGCTTATACTCTATCAGTGGGAAAAAAAAATTAAACAGGATCTGCCCTCTAGGACTTGACATCCTACTGAGGAAAACATGAAGTCTATAATATCCTGGTTCAGTTCTTGGTCAGAGCAGCATCACCCGAAGATCGCAAACCAGGGGTTTCCAACAGGAGGCAACTCTCAGCTCCCATGGTTTTTTTGGCCGTAGTGAGGAATCTCGACAGGATGCAGAGTCAGAGGCGCTGGGTTCAAAGCCCAGTCCTGCCATTTCCAGTCTCTGTGACTCTGGGCAGCTTCCTCATTTGGAAAATGAAGGGAGTGGACGAGATCAGTTATAAGGTCTCTGCCAACTCTAAATCTCTGATTGCCTATGTTCTACTTTGGGGTAGAAGACACACAGACACACACATACGCCCTACTGATGTCTTTCTCCAAATATTGGCACACATAGCCACTGACAGATCACGATCTTGGAAGGCCTGCATAATGCCTCCCTCTGCCATTTCACGTAAAAGGGATCAACAGAAAATTAGTGAGAAATGCTTTTTTAAAGAGACCAAAAATGTAAAGTTTTGGGGGGAAGAATAATAAAATTTGGCTGAAAATAGTCGGGGATACAACTATTATATGAGCCAGGTTGGCAGACAAGCAAAAAGTGATGATAAAATCCTACACAAATACACTTGAGACTCCTCTGCCTCAATGGCCCCCTGCAGCCTTTGGTGAAAAGCTGAGCTGGTTAATCCAAATCACCAGTGAGAAAGGCACATCACCTCTAATAGCTGACTGTGTCCTCACAAAGATAAGGTAAAGCCAAGTATCATATAATTATGACCCAGGCTCCCTCTCACACAAGCCGGTGAGCACAAGTTCAAAGACAAGACAGACTGACTTGGCACTTTGCTTGTATATGACTTAAAACGCATCAGCTAATAGTTGCTTGCAGGGTCACTGGTGTCACAGCCTAATGGACAGGGAGTGGAGCCTTCCGGCACTGAGTGCCACTGGCCAGGCTAAGAAAGGCTCACGAAGACTGTGGACAAGCTATACATGGCATGAAGAGAATACATAGAATACATACAAACCAAGGGAGAAAGGGACAGGAATGTACTCTGTAGAGCTTATCTCCCAGGCATTCATTTCCAACCTGAAGCCCCTTCCCGCCATTCTTGCCAATCTGGCCTATGCTTGCCTGGCCCATGGCTGACTCTACACCTTTGTTCATGGAAAGCGATTCACCTGACATGCCCTCTGCCCTCTTCTACAATCAGCCAAATGCAACTCATTTTTCTCCAGGGGCCCATCTCACCTCCCATGTCCCCCAAGGAAGCCTTGCCCAACCAGCCTCCTCATTATGTCAAGACTACAGAAGCTCAGGGTTGGAAGAGCCTTCAAAGCTCACCATATATACTTGTTTCCTAAAGAGAAAGAAATTTATCAGGTCAAAAAAAAAAGGTTTATTTATTGTCTCTCTCCAATTAAATAAAAGTCATTTGAGGGCTAGAGCTGTTTTAAATTTTCTCTTTGTATCTCTAGTGCCTAGAACAGTGTCTGACACACAAGAATAGTGACTGGATCTTTGATTTCATTTAAATAGAGAACTCCTAGATAAGAAAATTTCCTCTACCAATATGGGTTGTCAACTAGTCTTATACAGCTACCTAGAGCCCTGAGGTATGAAATGACTTTGCTCAGAGTCACACAGCTAGCACATGTCAGAGTGAGAAGCTGAACCCAGGTATGGCTGGTTTCAAAGTCCAGCCTTCTATCCACATCTCTATGGATAGTTCTCCTGCCTAGCACACAGTAGGTGCTTAATAAATGCTTGTCAGATTGGATTGGATTGGCAAGGCAAGGTTAGCCTCCAACCATCTTTCTGGCCTCAGAAGTCTTACAGCACTTATGTTCATACCACTTGTTGGACACATTCTGTCTCATCTGATTTGACTTTCATGTGCATGTCTTCTCTCCTTCCTGCTCCTGCTCCCCACTATGAGACTGTAGGCCCCTTGAGTGAGTGCAAAAGTAAGCATGTTTAGAACAGAAAGGAGGTGAAAGAAGGGAGAATTAGAAAGAGAAGGGGGTACATGGTTGAGCCATGAATGAATGGTCCCATGAACAAACCTCCCAGTGAGACAGATTCCCTATCATTAAGCCAGGATTTCAGAAACAGGGCTTTATCTTGGCAGGAGAGAGAGGAAAAAAAAGGTCCCTCCACATGCCACTCCCAGGCTTAAGAAGTGCTGGGATTAAAAAAAAAAAAAAAACAAAACCCAACAACAACAAACTTCTCATTCTGGCATTTAAAACATTCCACAATCTGGCACCATCCTGTCTTTCCAGGCCAACTTCACATTACTTCCCCTAACATACTCTGTGTTAGCTAAACAGGCTTACTTGTTGTACTCTGACCGAAACATTCCAGCTTCTTCTGCCCCCTTGTCTTTTCAAAGGCTTTTCCACCCCCACACCATACCTGGAATGTTCTCCTTCTTTACCTCCACACCTTGGATTCTTGAGCTCCCTCCAAGGCTCAGCTCAAGGCCTTCCTCTTTCATGAGGTCTTTCCTGATTCTTCCCCACCCCACTAGTGGGTAGTTATGAGTGCTTTCCCCACCTCCCAACATGACTTTGCATCTATTTCGTATTTATCTGTTTACACGGTGCTTTTCCCACTGGAGAACATAAGCTCCCTGAGGGCATGGACCCTTTCACTTTTGTCTTCATATGTCCAGCATCTAACAGTATCCGGCACAGAGTAGGCACTTCATAAAATGTTTCTTCAATTCAGTTCAATTCAATGGTACAGACAACAAAGGCAGGAGTGGGAAGAAAGAAGGAGGTAGAAGGGTAGGAAGGGGGTGTCTACAGGTCTGGTAACTAACAGATCCATCTAATGTAAGAACAAGAGGTAACTCTTACATTTAGCCAATTTTCTTTCAATAAATGCCTATTACCCCAGTGCCATCTATCAGAGACTTTCAGGACACCAAGATCAGGCTATGAAAAAGCAAGAACGGCTCATTGAGAAGAAGTGAGAGGCATCAGGGCAGATGTGGCCAGGAGATGTTAACGAAAACATAATAGTGCCAGGCAATGTTTCAGTAGATGAAGAGAATGTCCTCAGTCACCTAAAATCCCTATACAAACCCTCAATTATTCTCTTCTCAATATACACATGTATCCACAAGCCTAGGTGTGTGCATACAAATATGGGTGTATTTTGCCATGTATCAGTGTACGTAGTTAGTAAAAGTTCTGGAATGTCATGGCACTCAAGAGGGCAGAAGGTTATTGGATCTTTCATGGCATTAGACCCGATCCTTTCTATAGAGGGCTTGATTCTGCTGATAGCTGTTCTTCCTACTATCATCTTTCTAAGTCTCCAGCAGCACTGTGATATAGTACAGAGAGACCTGGCCTTCACGACAAAAGATGGTTTCAAATTACGCCCCTGACACATACTGGCTCTGTGATCTGGGCAAGTCAATGAACCCCTCAGTTGCCCTAGGGAACTTCTTAAGATCATTACTTATAAACTAGTTGCTGATTCACATTGGTGAAGGGAGTTTCCTCACCAGAAGCTTCCTACACCAATGAAATCACAGGACCAAAAGAAAACACATCTCTCCTGCTTCTGCTTCACCCTTCTTTTCTCGCTTGCTCACAGTTTTCATCAGAATGGATGCTGCCTTAGACAAACAGAGACCTAGCCTTAAAAAGGTCATGGTCTCCCCCTTCACCCAGGGCCATCGCCAGTCATCCTGACCTATGTCTTGCCACTGGGACTCCAATGATTCTGGAGGAGGGAGTGAGGCTGATGACATTGCACAGCCCTGCCTCACTTAAATCCAATTCACTTACAAGTCAAGACATCACCCTTCTGGTGCCATTGGTAGTCTTCAAGAACAAAGGACAGACAATAACAAACAAGGATTTTCATCTGGTTTATCAAGCTGGATATGCTTCTGTAAACATCAGTGTTCAGTAAGTATATTATGTAAATCCACACAATCCTAGATAAGAAAATAAAGGCTCATTTTTTTTTCTGCCTCAAACTTCATAGCCATGTAAACACTGATGGCCAAAGGCTAAGTGGCAGTGATTGCTTACACTAGAACCCTTTGTCTCTCTTTAAAAAAAAAAATTCAGAATCAAAAGACCCTAGGTTACAGCCAAGGCTGTCACTAACTACCTCTACTATCTTGGGCAAAACCTGTCACTTCTCTGACATTTATTTCCCTCTTTTGCAAACTGAGGAGGCAAGATAGACTGTATTCTAAAATCCCTTCCTGTTCTAACAGTCTAGGAATCTAAATTAAGACGTGAGTGTGTGTGTGTGTGTGTGTGTGTGTGTGTGTGTGTGTCCCTAGAAATTGTTTTCTGTCTTTATAGATTTGTAGTGTTCTATAGAATAAAGGTTTCCCGCCTACCCCTGCCCTGTGGCCATGAGGAGATCAGGACGATAATCCAGGATGATGACCAAAAAATAAAAAAAAAAATCATTACCTGATCACTGTCAAAAAACCCACACTAATTAAAACTGATGAATTTTGTTCTTAATGGGGAAGGGAGGAGTACTGTTCTCCAAAGATAACAGCCAAAGATCATCATTACTTCTGAGACCCTAACATTCCCCCCCCAAAAAATAATAAAAATTATACAAATACTTTTCCAACAGCCCTTCTAACTCTATTCCCATTCTGAGTCTCTGAGGACTCCTTTGGAATGGCTGCACCAAAATTCTAAGCTCAAAAGAAAAATGTTCAGACCTCAAACCACAAATCACGGACCTGAGAGACCCCCAAATGGTCCAACCCATACCTGAATGGGAATTCTCTACACCACATACGTGACAACCATCCAGCTAGACTTGCCTGAAGATCTCCAGGGAAGGGCAAGCCGCTATCTCTTTGAGTTAGTCCATTCTACTGGGGAATAGCTCTATACATTAGGAGATTGCTCCTTGAATCAAGCCTAAAGGTGGAGCTTTGCCAAAAGGATAGGCTTGGAGGGGGATGTGAGGAGAGGAATACAAGCTCCTTAAGGGCACAGACTATTTCTTTTTGTCTTTGCAGGCCCAGCACCTAGCGTAAAGCTTGGCACACAGTAGGAAATGTTTGCTGAATTCAGTTGAATCAAACTCTTTATAAAAGGTTTAAGGCAGGGGTAGGGAACCTGTGGCCTCAACGCCACATGTGGCCCTCTAGGTCCTCAAGGGCAGCACTCTGACTGCATCCAAACTTCATAGAATAAATCCCCTTAGTAAAAGGATTTGTTCTGTAAAACTTGGACTTAGTCAAAAGGCTGCACCCAAGAACCTAGAAGGCCACATGTGGCCTTGAGGCCATAGGTTCCCCACCCCTGGTGTAAGGGATTAACGAACCAAGCAAGAAACAGTCAACACACAGAGAAATCTGTCCTTTAAAAACCAAACTTAGATTCCCCATTCACCAAAAACAAAACAAAACAAAAACTGAGATCTGAGTCAAAGGTATTTTGCCACAAACCAGTCCTCCCATGATGTCCCCTCTACACATAGAGATTTTTAGCAATGTGGCTGGAACGTAAAATACACACAGGAAACCCCAAAACTTTAAATTGGGATAACAAGTATCCAAAAGAAGCAATGATTTGATGCAGCTGGAATCTTACCTTGACCATATCGGGCTGGCAGTATTTTCACATTTGAAACCATTGGATCATTCTAAGTGGCCTCCTCCCCCACATTCAAGCTAAGCTATAGTGAGGCATCACTGTACCTTTTTTTTTCCAAAAAAAGTATCATAGAATCTTTTTTTTCTTTTTTTAACTGATGCATAAAACAAATACATTCAATAGGATATAAGGTTTATTATTTAGTATAATAAATTTATAATGTAATATTGTTCATTATAATAAATATAACCAAAAGGTTATATTTATACACACACACACACATATATATGTATACGTATTCTTATTCTCTCCCCCCCAACAACTTATCCTGAAATATATAGCCTTTCTTTCTACAAAATTCACCTTTCATAGCTAACTGTGAGCTCCTTAAGAGCAGGGACTATCTTTTGCCAATCCCTAGCACTTTGCACAGTGCCTGGTACAGACAGAATAGGTGCTTACTAAATGCTTACAGAATGGATTCCTTCCTTGAAAACTTTTTCTCCAAAATTTCTTCTTTGTGCCCTTTAACAGTCTTTTGGAAAATTTTTACAAAAGGGCTTTTTTTCTGATGTCACTAACATTTCCCAATGATAGCCACCTCACAGACCCCTCCCTCCATGTGAAAGAAGTGCAGTCCTAAGCAAAGGCAAGCCTTAGACACAAAATCTTCATCTGTTCTCCCACTTTCTTTTCCTTCCCTCCCCCTCCTCCACCCAATCTCAACATACACACACAGAGGCCTAGAGTTTCACAAACTACTGGGATGTATGGTTTGCTGCTAGCCGTACCAGGTTAATCATTTAAACCTACAGGTTGGACAAGTTTTAATACTGAAATGTTGGTTTGTGATTAACCCAGCAAAAGGGCTCCATGGCAGGAAGCTAGCTCTTGATTTTTTTTAATTAGTCTATTGATTTACCAGGGCTCTATAACAGTAACCTATCATGAGACCCTTTCCTTATTTTTTGAAATAGTAAAAGGATGAGTTTAAGAGAGAAAAGGGAGAAAGAGGGTCTGTCTCCTTCCTCCCCTGAAGACTATGACATTCTAGTAACTACTAGCTACTCTTCCTTCTCTAGGTGCCTCCAAAAACCACCTAAATTAATTAACAGTCCAGTGGAACATCACACATCATCCTCCTTTGCACAGCCAAGTATGGGGCTGAGAAGCTGGTGTTGCCTCAAGACTACTTTCTAGGAAACCAAAGCACAATAAATTATTCACCAAAAAGCACAACAGAGAAGGAGGGCACCTTTCACTAAGACATTCTAAAGTACCTTTGAAACCAAGGGGGATCCAAATCCTTGTGTTCAGTGAAGAAGACAAGGCACAAGGAGGCCCAGCCCTTGTCAAGGTCACCTTCTCCTCTCCTGGAAGATCATCTGGAATACAACTCAAACTTGTGAACCTGCTAAAGATCTGCTAAACCAACATTCACAAGACACTGTGATCTCATTCATTCTGCCCCTGGAAGTTTCTGGGGGTAGAAGTTTTAATATTACTATGATTATTAACAACATCAAAACAATAATCATAGTGATTTCAGAGGACCAGCGATGAAGCATGCTACCCAACTCCTGACAGAGAGGTGACAGGCTCAATATACAGAATGAGGAATACATTTTTTGGCCATGAACAAGGTGGGAATGTTTTTTACTTGACTATCCATGTTTGTTACAAGGATTTTGCTTTTCTTTTTCTAATGAGAACAGATTTTTGTTCACATTAAAAATTATATTAAACCATTAATAATGGTTAATAAAATCATTTTAAAGCATTAATAAATCATTAATAATTTAAATTTAACTAATCATTAAAACCATAATGTTGTTAATAATAGAGGAAATTCAGGTAGCATTTTAAATTATATAAAGAGTATATATACAGTATCTAACGTGATACTATAAAAGTCCTATGAGGAAGATAGTACTGGTACTATTATCCTTATTTTACGGATAAGGAAACTGAGGTGAGAGGCTAAGGGACTCAATACAGGTTATACAGGGAAGAGCTCATATTGGAGTGAGGACTTCAACCAAGATTTCCATGACTCCATTCCCAGCACTCTACCCACTCTTTCTGAAGTAACCTTTATCTATTATTTTTCGGTAACTAGGCACTCTAATACCAATGTACAGAATCTCTTGGCAGGCAGCAAGGAATCTAAGAAGCCACCACCACTGAAATTATAAGACCAGCCTCATGATCTAAAAAGTGTACTGGACTGTCAGGCAGGAGAAATCTGGGTCAGGGTCTTAGTTAAGTTAGTCAGTTCATGTTGTGTGACCTAGAACACGTCACTTAACTTCTCAGAAGTTCAATTTCATCATCTGTAAAGTGGGCCAAGTCAGACCTGAACCTCCTATCTTACAGGGACTACTGTGTGGAAAGCATTCGATAAATCTTAAAGAGCTAGCATAAAGTTGGTTACAGTCTGCTTTATTAATTATAAGCTTCATGCTACAATTCAGTCGTTTCAGTCATGTCTTACTCTTCGTGACCCCATTTGGGATTTCCTTAGCAAAGATACTGGAGTGGTTTGCCATTTCCTTCTGCAGCTCATTTGACAGATGAGGAAACTGAAGCAAACAGGGTCAAGTGATTTGCTCAGGGTCACACAGCTAATGAATATCTGAAGCTGGATTTGAACTCAGGTCTTCCTGACTCCAGGCCTGGTATTCTATCCACTGCACCACCTAGCTGTTCTATTATTAAATTAAGAGCCCTCAATTACCCACACTAGGCTAGCAGGCTCTTAGATACTAGAAGAGATCTTAGAGGACATCTAGTTCAACCAACTCATTTTGCAGGAGAGAAAACTAAGGCTCAGCGAGTTTAAGAGACTTAGCCAAGGTCACACAGGTTGTGTCTGAGATGGGATCTGAACCTGAGTCTTTCTGATTTCAGAGCCAGCATACTATGCTGAATACAGATGCTGCTACATATATTTTAAACATATCTAAAAACCCATTCCTTTCCCAAGCTTTGAAATATATTAATTTGGGGAGGAAAATAGGGGAGAGGATAGATTTGCCTTCATTCTGATATTGAAGCTAAAAAGATTAAAATCTATTTGTATCACAGGGAGTGGGAGAAGGCAAACAGGGACCCTGCTGGGCAGTGGCAACCAGGGAGATCTGAGGGAATAAAGATTTATGGCAGGTAATCTGTAAAATAGGTAATCTATTGTAGCATCACAGTACCTGAGCTGGAAGGGTCTTCAGAAGCCGCCTGAGTCCAATCTTTATCTGAACACGAATGCTTTCCACAACATGCCTCACCTATGGTCATTCAGTCTTTGCTTAACTACTGCCAATGAGGCGAAAGTTACAAGATAGTGAGGAGGCAGCCCAATTACTTTGGGTCAGTTTTAATTTGCACACCTGAAGGTTTGGTTACAGAGTGCCATCTCTAATCAGAACACCTTTTTGGGGGGGGGGGGTGGAGGTGGATATGCTCGTAGGTCCTTAACACCACCATCCACTAATCCTCCTGCCTGAGGCCACAGGGGACAGGTGATGTTACTCCCATTTGAGAAGGGGTGTGGGCAGGAGGCCTGGGCCTCCCTAGGGACTAATGGAAGAGGACCAGGAGGCACCTGAAGCCACTAAGTGGTGCTGATTACTCCTCATTGCACAGTGGCCAAGACAACAGCTGTCTAGGATAACCATTTCTTTGTACCCTCCTGGTAAACATAAGTCAGGCTCATCTGTTTCCTCCTCTAGGCCCCACTACTGTCTCCCATAACCTCCTTCCCCCTTCATTTTTCACTGGGAAGGAGGCACCTCCCTCCTTTCTTCCCCTGGTAAGACTACAAAATTTTGATTAATGAGAATTCATCCACGTAGGTTGTTTCCTTAGCATACAGCCAGAATACACCAGCTCCCGTGCTGCCTCTAATCTACAAGAAGGACAGCAAGAGATAGTGGCAAGGAAATCCATTTTTCTACTAAAATGCTGTCTCATTCTTTCTCTCTCGACGAGGGCCCCTACCTGTGTGTACATCTGCAAGTCTAATTTCTCTATTGCTATTTGAATACATTTTCCAAGCTTGGAAAACAAGCCAACAGTTTAGAGGCTCCGGAACTAACTCGATCTGACAGTCACAGCACTGACGGCTGCCAGGCCTGATTGATTGGTGGGATATATTTAGATGGAGAAGGGGTGGTGGTGGAATAAAACGTTGTTGTGCTACTCAACTCCAGTGTATTGTTGGTAAAGACAGACTAGCAAATAAACAGCAAACAGCCATTGACTAGCATTAGCTGGCAGACATCATCTAGGCTTCTCTTCCCCTCCCAGCCACAAGCCAGACAAGTTTCTAAGAGACCCTCCCTCATTGAGAATGGCCCTCCCCCATTATGAAAAACGATTAGAGAGAATTCTGCTACTATTCTCTGTCTGTCTGTGTGTGTGTCTCTCTCTGTCTCTCCTCCCCCCAATCCTGCCACAATTATTCCAGAAAGGCAAACAAACATAAATATGATTTGTTCCCCTAGCTCTCTTCCTCTTCTCCAGGGCCCCTCCCTGTTTTCCAATCTCCTTATCCCTAGGAGACGTTGGCCTCATGCTCAGATGGACAAGGTCAGGGTTGCTTGGTTAGAGCTCGGAAACTGCCCTGGCACACCTGAAAAGGCTGTTTTATATTCCTTTAGTCCCATCTGCCCAGATGTTTGTAGGAACAGGAGACAAGCAGAGGTGTTCTCTCCTTTCGAGGAACTGGCCCCTCTTCTTGTCAATCTTAAGACAAGCCTACAAACAGAAGGACAAGGAGACAGCAGAGGAAAGGGAACAAAAAGAAAGTGGGGACAGGAAAAAACAGGAGACCTGGCATGTATGGGCTGTGTGCCACTTACTGGGCCACACACAAAACTTGCTATGCTACGCCTCACTTTTCCTGATCTACAAGAGGAAGATAACACTACAACCACCCACCCACTGGCCTATGTGACATAAATTCTATAGGGATGAGCGCAAAATGAATGAATGAATGAATGAATGAATGAATGAATGAATGAATGAATGTCTTATCTGCTTCTGACTCATTAAAAGATACTGTCTAACTTTAAGGAATCACTACCATAAGTCAAACTTCATTCATCTGAAACACAAGGAACCCAGAGGAGGGAAAAAATTACATGCATGAACCAATTCAGATTAGCCATAATTTATGCTAAATCGCAATAGGATGCCTGTCGGCTGGCGAAAAGAAAGCTGCTTGGAATTATGAATTTTGTAAAACAAAAAAAGAGATCAGATTAATGAGGTTTTTACTATATTCAGATGGGAGTTTTCACAGGAGCCAGCCAGAAAATGTAGGTTAAATGATTACAATAAGAGAATGGGGCAGATGCCTAGTGCGCTGGGGCAAGATATTTAAAAACAGCATCTGTGCCTCCAGTACTTTTCGTCAGAAAGATGGCAGTAAGGTAGATGTTACACAGGAAATTCAAACAGAATCAAAGAATGTTGACATTGGAAAGGACTTTAGGAAGATAGAAAACTGTCACTGAAGCAGTCTTGAATCTGGAATCAAGAAGACTTGAGTGAGAATCCCAGCTCTTTTACTTATACCTCGGGCAAGTTACTTCAACTTTCTAGACTCTGTAATATGAGAGAGTTAGAGTAGATAGATAATCTCAAAGTTTCCTTCCAGACCTATAGCCAATGAGATCATCATTTAAAAAAAAAAGTAAATTCTCCTTTTTAAAACAAAGAAACTGAGGTCTAGAGGTAAAATGACTTATCCAAGGAATCAGAGCTTAGTTTTTATTAGAAGTAGAGACTAAGGGTCATCAAGTAGCATTCACTATCCCTCCCCCCAAAAAATGGGTTTTTGGAGATATTATTTTGGGGTGAAAAAAAATCTTTATAGAAGCTTCAGTGGCCTCAAATACAGCTAGATATTTCAAGCACTACAAACTTTATAAAATCATGTCAGTCGTGTGTCAAATGTGAATACACAGGAAGTATGTTAAAAGTCTGGAAGACAGGGTCTTTACAAAATAATTATAAATGTATAAATAAATCAAGACTTCGGCTTTGTTTTTGGCAGAACTCTGCGCCACAGAGGAGAAACATGAGCAAGGCTGCTAGATGCTGAGGGGAAGATAAAAGGAGTCTCTGAGCAACATATCCTGGATAGCAGAGCAGAAAGGACACACATGCCCAAAGAAATACAACCGTTTTCCATTTGCAAGATGAGGCACTCGGACCCAGGGAGGTGTGTGAGCACATGGAAAAACAAAAAAAAAATTAAATAAAATTTAAAAAAAAGAACCCAGACCCTGAGATTGCTTTTCAGTTAAACCATTCATGGGGGGAGGGGAGAGGAAAGAGTGCCAGAAGGAGGTCGAAGCAGGGGTGCAACAAGACCTATTAGAGAACTAGAACCTTAATTTATCAATTAGATGCCATCTGCGGATAGTGTTCTTTGAAATAATTGTTGGATTTGACAATGCACGGCTGCTTTGCAAAGTTTCTGCCAGCCTTGATGCCGGTTAATTAAATTTCTGCACTTAAGTTTGATTGCATTGAAAGCACAGGGGCTCTCCATGGATTCAGTTCCTTAGCCACCTGCTGTGTCAAAACTAACCATGTTTCCATGGCAAGGGGTGGGGGAAGAATATGTATTTTCTTCTAAGTATTATCTTTCTCTCCATCTTCACAAAAATAAAGGGGGATCAAGGCTCCTATTTCACTGGAGAGCTCAAAGGCACAAAATTCAAGGACCTTAGAATAGCTGGAGAGCCCTGCCGTCTCTCTCCATGAAGGGGGCATTCTTTTATTTCATCTCACAAAAGTTAGTTAATAAGCCGGAATCCCAGACGGTCCCTATGCAGAAATTCAGTTTAAGACCAAATACAATCCCATAAACCCAACTGAGAAAACTTTTAACTTCCAGACAAGCAGTCACTCGATGTTCAGAGAATACTATCAAAAGGGAAGGATGGAAGAGGGCACAGGTACTGAGAGTCCCTTTCTTTCCCTGTCTGTGAAAATATAGCAAACACACAGAGATCCTGCTAAGGTCTAAACTTTGCCCAACGTCCTCGACACCAGTCAGCAAAGAGGGAGCCTTGCCTAATGTTAGGTTTTCCAAGTAACAACTTGTTTCTTCAGTGACTGATTCAGAAAGGCACCATCAGACACAGACACAGAGCCTGACTTAGAAGTCAGTGGAATGGGAATGGCAGGGAAAAGAATCGGTTCAATGGATCCCATCATAGCAGTGGAAGGGGTCTTAGAGACATTGAGTTCAACCTCCTTACTGATGTGGAAAACAAGATCCAGAGAGGGAAAGTGACTTTGCCCAAAGTCACATAGGCAGTAAGTGGTAGTCAGTGGTAATAGGGGCTTTGTCACCAAATCCTTTCCCCTTTCCAGTGTACCACACTGCTTCTACTCACCTATATAATTTCATCCAGTATCACTAAAACTTAGAAATATCCATTAGCCATACTCGCCTTTGAGTTAAGCATTACTCTCTCAAGGCAACCTCTTCTAAAATAAATTCTCTGGGTCTTAGAAATAATGCAGGCTCATTGGATCAGCCCATTGGCCTAAAGGCGAAAACTAGCATGATTGATGAAAATCCATCAGCACAAGCCCTGACTCCAAAAGATTTTCACGAACCTTGTATTTAGGTTTATGAAAGCAGCTCGTGTTTGAAGTATTCAAAGATTACTGGTGTTTGCTCATTCTAGATTGGAGCACATAGTTCCCTTTGTCTCTCTCGGTATAAAATCCCACTGTCCTCTAACGTCTCCGGGCCATCCAAAGCCAGTTAACTACCTGGATCACGCTGGTTTCTTGGGATTCAGCTACCTCCGTGTGTGGCTTCAACTCCCCACCCTGGACCAGTGCAGGGACCGAGGCGCACAGCACATAGCTTGTCACCTTGTTCTTGAATAGGTATATCAGTATATAAATATCTTGGACAGACACTATGAATGGATAATGAGGAAGGCCCAGAATTTGACAAGAGGATGGTTTGCCTTTGGGAAACTGCAAAGTTCTTTTAACCCCTCCAAGTTTCTCCACAAAACAAATATTCAGCTATGTCAACACCAATGTGCTTTCAGTAATCTTATATGTCCTATTGGTTAAGACCAGTATTTTTTCAATAATCGTGTTTCGTCACGCAATATGAAGGCCTCCAAAGAATGAGAGCTGAGGATCATCCATAAAGCAACAGCACATGGTGGGCATGAGCAGGCTATGGCATTGTACAGACAAGGAATCCTACAAGTGGAGTAAACAAGATCATTAGATAAATGGATGACTAGAATTGATGATGGGCCAGTCCAGTGGTTACAGTAAGGGCTAAATGATGGATAACCTTGGTGGTCCATCTATAACCTTTTGATGTCAAGGGAACTTGAGTTTTGTCTCCAGTATATCGGGCGGATGCCCTGTGGAGAACCTATGGGAAGACACAGGCGAAGGTCATACAACATAGACAGGCAGGAACAGGCTGCATCACTAAAGGGAACACCAGCAGCAGTGAGACCGCAGATTCCCTGGAGTATGTCTACCAGATCGACGGGCATACTATCCATAAACCCTGGAGTTAGATCAACTCTGTGTAAGCCAGTGTCTACTTCCCTCAAAATTTCCAATCTGTTTGGCACAATGGACACACTCAGTAACATTTTACAGTGAATTGTTTTAGGGGAAAAAAGGGAGGTGAAAGGGGAGATAGAAGGTAGGAATACCAGAACAGATAAAATCTTCACCATTTTACCAAAGGCCACAGGAAATGCTGGTGGTAACCTGCTATTCTTTGGTGATGCTAATTCATGGACAAGAAAATCCCAGATGTGACATTAGCCAGTGATCTCAAGACCAAGCTATCATCAACTGGCAGGCTAGGGACTTCCATACTAAAACTAGCTAATGTACCCTGAAGGTCTTCCCGACTTGGCCATAGACACACCAGCCTCCAAACACTCACATCATTGCCTTCCCTAAAACTGTCCCACCTATAAGCATTAACAGCTGTCCTCTTTGAGCAAGAGGAGGGATCCAGAGGTTCTGGATGGGCAATGGAAAAGCTATTGGGGAGGTAGGGGGATGGGGACAGCCAGGTGGCGCAGTGGATAGAGCACTGGCCCTGGAGTCAGGAGGACCTGAGTTCAAATCTGTCCTCAGACACATAACACTTATTAGCTGTGTGACCCTGGGCAAGTCACTTAATCCCATTGCCTAGCCAAAAAAAAAAAAAAGAGGAAAGAAAAGCTATGGGGGAGGGGGGAGAAGGGGAGTGTTGCAACTCTGTATCTCATGGTTAATCCACAATACAGATCATCAGGGAGTGACTGTATACGCAAATCCATGAAAAGCCCTTCCAGCTGATTTGGCTAAGAAGCATCACAAGGTTTTCATCACCAAGGCAAGAAAGAAAATACAAATTCTAAATATTTGGGCATTTTGTACAGAGACACAACACACTTCTGAGAAAGCTTTCAACAACAGTTCCTTACTGTAGGAGCTACAATACATACATAGATTACTTTTCCATCTTGTAATTAGCAGAGGGAATCCCCTTGGAATCTCAAATCTAAAAGAATCTCAGAGGCCATCCAGCATAACACACACCTAAAATAAGGTCCCTTCTAGAATATCCCCATCAGGTGTGATCCAGCCTCTGCTTGAAGACCTTAAGCAACAGGGCACCCCCTTCCACTTCTGAAGAGCTTAGGAAGTCTTTATTTATACAGAGCCAAAATCTGCCTCCCTGGAATTTCCAGACATTACCCTGGTTCCATCCTCTGCAACCAAGAAAAAAAAAATCCAACCCCTCCTCTTCCATATGACAGCCTTCAAGTATCTATCAAGAAACTATCATGGCCAAGCTCCTTCCCTCTTTTTTTTTCTTTTAAACTAAATATCCCTGGCTCCTTCAAGAGAATCTCACAAGACATTGTTTCTAGTCCTCTCACCATCCTAACTGAGCTATAATTTGTCCACATCTTTTTAAAAATGTAGTTCTTGGGGGGCAGCTAGGTGGCTCAGTGGATAGAGCACCAGCTCTGGATTCAGGAGGACCTGAGTTCAAATCCGGACTCAGACTCATAACACTTACTCGCTGTGTGACCCTGGGCAAGTCACTTAACCCCATTGCCTAACCAAAAAAAAAAAAAAAAAAAGAAAGCTAACACCAAAAACGTGGTTCTTGGAAATGAAGGCGACACCTAAATGTAGTTGGACTGGCAGGGTACAGTTGGACCACCACCAACTTTGTTCTGGACATTGAACTTCTAATAATGCTTCCTATGATACCATTAGCTTTTCAGATGGACAAATCGCACTATTAATTCATATTGCTCTTACAGTCCACTAAAACCCCAGAGGTCCCTTTCACATGACTTATTGTCTAACCACCATGTTTCTATTCCCCACCCCTATTCTTGTGCAATTGATTTTGAACCCAAGGACACATTTTCACATTTATCCTGATTAAATTTCATCTTACTAGATTATAGGCTATCCTTCCTATCAGAGAACAAGGATGGCCATTGAGTTCTCTGCTTCCATAAAGAACAGCCCCCTGCTGCTCTGGGTGCCTGAGTTTGCCTTTGTGAGGTACCCCCAACCTAAGTTCAGACACAACTCTGCCATTACCTACATCAGCCTCTTCCTTGTCTTCATGATCCATCCCCTCCACGGGCGCTTGAGCCAAAGAGTACTGTCCCCTCTTCAAGAGAGAGGGAGTGAGAGAGAGTGGGAGAGAGGGCGGGAAGGGGGAAGAGAGAAGGAGAGAGGGAAGGGGAAGAAAGAGGGAGAGAGGGAGAGAGAGAGAGAGAGAGAGAGAGAGAGAGAGAGAGAGAGAGAGAGAGAGAGAGAGAGAGCGCAAAAAGAGGCAAAGAGGTAAATGCCTGGGTGAAAAGGATGGCTAGAGATTAGAATTGGAGCACTGAAGGAGCCATGTTGGATTTTGAGTAGAATAACAGAGATTCATTTCTAAACCAAGGCAAAACTAGACCTTTCTCTTTCTCTATTACCCTTAACCTTGTGGCCTCATCCCCATTAGTATACTATAGCACCAGGGCCTACTGCTGCTGACCCTATTCAGGCCCCTTTTCTATTTGAGTTGGACAACGCTGTTCTATTGTGTTTTTATTAACTTTGTTAAATATTTCCCCAAATTAATAAAAATATAGTAGACCATAGAGAATGTTAATATGTGGTTTTTCTAAGTCAATATGCTGCTGCAAGAATCTTTATGTACAGTTTAACAGCCTTTTTTCTATTTGATAACACTGTCTTACA